GATCCGGGAGCTTTGCCAGGACGCGCAGGTGCTGCAGCAGACGGAGCGCCTGGGCGTGCCCTATCGGACCCTATCGCGGACAGCTCCTGGCCGGAGCCAGCTCCAAAGAAAGCGCGAGGACACTCGGAGCCGCCGGCAAGAGCTGCTGGCCCGCCAGCAGGGCATGTGCAAGCTGTGCATCGCTCTGGGGACCTTCGAGGTCGATCACGTCATTCCGGTCTCCCAGTCCTTGTCCGGACAGCAGCAGGAGCTGCAGGTTGACCAAGGCCGGGCTGAAGGGGCAGTATCGCGAGCCGAGCATGGAAGCGCAGCCGAGCGAAGCCACGGTGGCGCCGAGTCGAGGACTCCGTGAAGCATTGCGTGGAGGGCGAGAGCCTGCTGCTCACGGGCTTTCCAGGAACGGGGAAGACTCATCTGGCCAAGAAGATCGTCGAAGCCTTCGAGAGCACGGGGACACTGGGTTTGGTGGCTCAGACACGGAAAACTGCGGAACAGGCACTGCAGTGCCACCTGGCTGGTCATCGAGGAATTGACTCAACTCGATACCACCGGAGCGGTGGCGCTTCGACGAGCGAGAGGCCCGGCGGCGCTTCCCGAGGCGGTGTGAAACCTCGTGATCTCCCGTGCGAAAGGGCCCAGATCAACGAGCGGGAGAATCGCAGGCTTGAGGCGTCACGCGGACGAATGCGCCGCAAACCATGCAGGTCTGGGCTGCTCATCAGAGCCGGCGGCCAACGCAAGGCCGTGCGGAACCTTGAGGAGGAATCAGCGTGGAACTGAAAGGCAGCCAACACGAAGGGCAGCGTCCACGAAGGCAAAGGACATAGAGCTGCAAGCCATTGCTGCAAGGCTGCATCCTCACGCGGTCACACTCAGGCCACCAGCCTCGAGACGAGCCAGCAAGCCAAAGTCGACAAAGTTGGAGCTCTCGAAAGCCGCAAGTACGAAGGGCAGCGGCAGCGGAGTAACGGCCTCCGCCAGCGCGTCCATCACAGGGCGAGACGGTGCCGGCACCTGATCAGAAGCGCGTCAGCTACAGATCACAGGGGCACGAGACTCTCGAGCCAAACCCAGAAGGAAGGATCGAGGCTGCATAGAAGCATGGCAAGCGTCCTTGTCGCAACTAGCTCTAGCTCTGCTGCAGGTGCAGAAGGGAACCTTTTTCTGAAGGGGGGAGGCGGCATCGTTCGCCTGGAGAGCGGCCAGACCTTTGCGGGCCCGGAACTGCTGAAGCACACCAGATTGTGCAGCAGCGCCATGACCGACGCTTCGTTTCAGGGGCTGACTTTGCGGGAACGGGTCTGCTCTCTCTTATGTGCCTGCTCTCCACTTTGTGTTGGCTGTGAGGTTTGTTTCGAGGAGCAGGACAGAATTCGTTACTTCGAATG